GGGTGTATGTGACGGTGTATGGTATGGGGTATGGTGGGTGTATGGTAGTGGGTGTATGGTGACGGTGTATGGTAGTGGGTGTATGGTGACGGTGTATGGTAGTGGGTGTATGGTGACGGTGTATGGTAGTGGGTGTATGGTGACGGTGTATGGTAGTGGGTGTATGGTGACGGTGTATGGTAGTGGGTGTATGGTGACGGTGTATGGTAGTGGGTGTATGGTGACGGTGTATGGTAGTGGGTGTATGGTGACGGTGTATGGTAGTGGGTGTATGGTGACGGTGTATGGTAGTGGGTGTATGGTGACGGTGTATGGTAGTGGTGTAGGGTGACGGTTTGTTGGTGCGGGTATGGTAGTGGTGTATGGTGACGGTGTATGGTAGTGGGTGTATGGTGACGGTGTATGGTAGTGGGTGTATGGTGACGGTGTATGGTAGTGGGTGTATGGTGACGGTGTATGGTAGTGGGTGTATGGTGACGGTGTATGGTAGTGGGTGTATGGTGACGGTGTATGGTAGTGGGTGTATGGTGACGGTGTATGGTAGTGGGTGTATGGTGACGGTGTATGGTAGTGGGTGTATGGTGACGGTGTAATGGTAGTGGGTGTATGGTAGGTGGGTGTGTATGTAGTGGTGTATGGTGTATGGTAGTGGGTGTATGGTGACGGTGTATGGTAGTGGTGTGTATGGTGACGGGTGTATGGTAGTGGGTGTATGGTAGTGGGTGTATGGTGACGGTGCATGGTAGTGAGTGTATGGTAGTGGGTGTATGGTGACGGTGTATGGTAGTGGGTGTATGGTGACGGTGTATGGTAGTGGGTGTATGGTAGTGGGTGTATGGTAGTGGGTGTATGCCAATGTTGTATGATATAAAATAAATATACACTACGTATGCGTCGCTAGATAACCTGACACTGAGGAACTCCAATATATACCAGTCATTATATACCAGTCATTCAGGCCAATACTAGAGTACACTGCACCAGTGTGCAACCCATAATTCCTGAATCCTTTAAGAAATTTAAAGGGGTTCTCGGATATACCACCTGGGGTGTGGGGGGGGGGTCGTAACACTCAGGGAAATGGGAAGTAATCAGCTTTGTTCCTAGTACGGGGGGGGGGACGCCAGTTATAAATCAATCAAGCGTAATCCTTGTAGGGGAACGTAAGCCAGAGATCAATCCGATTTAATCCTTGTATGGGAACGTAAGTCAGAAATCAATCAGATTTAATCCTAGTAGAGAAACGTAAGCCAGAGATCAATCAGATTTGATCCTAGTAGGGGAACGTAAGCCAAAGATCAATCAGATTTAATCCTTGTAGGGGAACGTAAGCCAAAGATCAATCAGATTTAATCCTTGTAGGGGAACGTAAGCCAAAGATCAATCAGATTTGATCCTTGTAGGGGAACGTAAGCCAGAGATCAATCCGATTTAATCCTTGTATGGGAACGTAAGTCAGAAATCAATCAGATTTAATCCTAGTAGGGAAACGTAAGCCAGAGATCAATCAGATTTGATCCTAGTAGGGGAACGTAAGCCAAAGATCAATCAGATTTGATCCTTGTAGGGGAACGTAAGCCAGAGATCAATCAGATTTAATCCTTGTAGGGGAACGTAAGCCAGAGAGCAATCAGATTTGATCCTTGTAGGGGAACGTAAGTCAGAGAATCAGATTTAATCCTTGTATGGGAACATAAGCCAGAGATCAATCAGATTTGATCCTTGTAGGGGAACGTAAGTCAGAGATCAATCAGATTTGATCCTTGTAGGGGAACGTAAGTCAGAGATCAATCAGATTTGATCCTTCTAGGGGAACGTAAGTCAGAGATCAATCAGATTTAATCCTAGTAGGGGAACGTAAGCCAGAAATCAATCAGATTTAATGCTTGTATGGGAACGTAAGTCAGAGATCAATCAGAGTTGATCCTAGTATGGGTTGCCAAGCCAAAAAAAATCACTATTTTGATCCTAATAAGGAATGACAAGCAAGAAATCAACTCCACATTGATCCTAGTAAGGTTGAGAAGCCAGAAATCAATTAGCTAGAGCCCAGTCACTGACTAAACTAAAATCAATAAGACTCGGCGCCGTCTAGATCACTCGCACTGTATAATTTATTAAATATAAGAAACTTGACAACGAAAAGAATATAAGTTTAAGGGTCCTTGTTTGGCGTTCTTATTTTCAATTTGGTTATATTTTATTTCTGAATGTTTTTTTCTTGTTATAAGTAAATAATTACATGCATGGGAGAGAATATATAAATTTCGAAGCACGGTGATGCTGGTGGTGGTAGTAGTAGTAGGAGTGGTGGTAGTAGTAGTAATGGTGGTATTAATAGTAGTACTAGTAGGAGTGGTGGTAGTAGTAGGAGTGGTAGTAGTAGTAGTGGTGGTAGTAGTACTAGTGATTGTAGTAGTAGTAGTAATGGTGGTATTAATAGTAGTAGTAGTAGGAGTGGTGGTAGTAGTTGGAGTGGTAGTAGTAGTAGTAGTAGTGGTGGTAGTAGTACTAGTGATGGTAGTAGTAGTAATAGTAGTAGTAGTAGTGGTGGTGGTGACAGTAGTGGGGTAGTAATAGTAAAGGTGGTAGTTGTAGTGTTGGTAGTAGCAGTAGGACTGGTAGTAGTAGTAGTAGTAGCAGTAGGACTGGTAGTAGTAGTAGTAGTAGTAGGACTGGTGGTAAAATGGGGTAGTAATAGTAATGGTGGTAGTTGTAGTGGTGGTAGTAGTAGTAATGGTGGTAGAAGGTATTAGCGTGAATGTGATGGGAACGAGTTGATGGGAACGTGTTGACGGGAACGAGTTGATGGGAACGTGATGGGAACGTGTTAATGGGAACGAGTTAATGGGAACGAGTTGATGGGAACAAGTTGATGGGAACGAGTTAATGGGAACGTGTTAATGGGAACGAGTTGATGGGAACGAGTTGATGGGTATGTTTTGATGGGAACAAGTTGATGGGAACGAGTTGACTGGAACGTGTTGGCGGAAATCATGGGGCCCAGCGGGCCCTGAACGTTAGTTCATCTTTAAGCGGAATATTGACTGTGTCCTGACGTACACACACTCACGCACACACGTACGTACGCTAGTTTACATGTACACACATCCTAACACGCTCACAGTTATACACACATACACATATATACACACACACAGAGCTGGAAGATACAGATGAGCCGGAGAGATGTCAGGAAATGCTTTATCGGCCTCAGGCTGGTCAGGAAGTGAAATGACCTGCCTGGAGATGTGGAGCAAACTGTACTCGACTTTAAGATCACGAGGCTTGGAAGTATTGAGATCGCTAGAGCACTCATCTCACACACTGAGGTCAGGGGTTCGAATCTTCTCCGGTACGGCTGGAAGACATTAGAGACGTGTTTCCATAAGACACCTGCTGTCCCTGTCCCTGTTCACCCATCAGTTCAAAATGGGTACCTGGGTGTTAGTGGACTGGAGTGGGTCACATCCTGGGTGTTAGTGGACTGGAGTGGGTCACATCCTGGGTGTTAGTGGACTGGTGTGGGTCACATCCTGGGGGTTAGTGGACTGGTGTGGGTCACATCCTGGGTGTTAGTGGACTGGTGTGGGTCACATCCTGGGTGTTAGTGGACTGGTGTGGGTCACATCCTGGCTGTTAGTGGACTGGTGTGGGTCACATCCTGGGTGTTAGTGGACTGGAGTGGGTCACATCCTGGGTGTTAGTGGACTGGTGTGGGTCACATCCTGGGTGTTAGTGGACTGGTGTGGGTCACATCCTGGGGGTTAGTGGACTGGTGTGGGTCACATCCTGGGACAAAACTGACCTAATTTGCGGGAAATGCTCAGCATAACAAGTGACTTTCTATATAGTAGTATGTCATTGATGTCAGCTATGGTCTGTATACACAAATAACCCGCACATAAAAGGGAGAAGCTTACGACGACGTTTCGGTCAGACTTGGACCATTTACAAAGTCACACTAACCAGAAGTGGAGCAGGACGGCTATATATAGGCAGGAAGAGGTAGTGGTGGTAGTAGTAGTAGTACAAGAATGGTATATAATTCCGACGACTACTACTACCACCACCACCTCTTCCTGCCTATATATAGCCGTCCTGCTCCACTTCTGGTTAGTGTGACTTTGTAAATGGTCCAAGTCGGACCGAAACGTCGTCGTAAGCTTTTCTCTTTTATGTGCGGGTTATTTGTGTATCGTTCCAGTCACGGTATTGTGACTTTTTTGTTATTTATGGTCTGTATAAGTTGTATCATGTACTGGTAGTAAATAAATATTATTATTATTATTAATAGGCTTGGTAGGCTGTAGAACAGATGTAATTATTATCACGAGCCTTGGAAGTATTGAGAACAAGTATGATAAGGTCCACTAGGTTTGGAATACCTTAGCATAGGCATGTTAATACCACGAGGCTGGGAATTAGCCTACTGTTGTGGGTGGCATCCCGGGGAGGAAAATGCGCTGAGGTAATCTAACAACGCTTAGCCTGTAAAACTGATGTTAAAAGAATTAAGACGAGGAACGCTAAAGACCAGGAGGCTGGAGAAAGCGCAGAAGTATATATAGGGAGACTAATTCCAGAACTGAGTGATATGAGCTGTGAGGAGAATCTAACTGAACTGAATCTAACAGAAGAATCAGAGGAAGTGACAAGGTAGACAGGGATAAACTATTTTTAGAGATGAGAAATGTAAACTCGGGGACATAGCTGAAGTTATAGTCACGGATAAGACACAGTGATGTTAGGAAATGTTTCTTCAGTTTCACAGTGGTAAGGAAGTAGAATGATCGTTATGAAGTGCAGGTTAACTCCATACAGTTGTAAAAGTGCGACAGGGGCCATGAGACAAAGTGGGAATGAATCTGGCAAGCATCTAGTAGAGGGGTGGGACTAGAAGACACTCGACCCTTGCAACCACATGTAGGTGAGTGCACACAGATTTATTTAGATAAATTTGCGCAATAAGTTTATATTTTTGTAAAAAGGAATCTCACCTGCTTTCCCCCGAAGACGATCAGCAGCAGCAGTAAAAGCAAGCTGGTTAGCAGGGACCCCAAATCCACGTCCATCCTCCCCTTCTAATGAAACCGTAGGATGGTTTCAATACCTCGTGGCAAACCCGGACGATTTCATCCTAGAAAACGCTGGACACTGTTATTTACCATATTTCCTGTGTCGCCTCTCTCCTTGTGGAATATCACAGGTTTCTAAAATTTGTGCCTCAGGTTCAGTGTTCAAGGTTCAGCAGCACGGGGACTTATCTTTTAAGCGTATGTATGACAACTTACAGAATTCGTAAGGAGATCTCCAAGTAAAATCAAGTCTTCCAGCTATGTCATTTTAACGTAAGCTTCTATTTTTTCTCAAAATCTGATCATATACCAAAATATAAACACATTTTTTTTTACGTATTTCAACGAATCAACTCGCGTAACTTAACACTAAGATTAAGTTCACTTCTTATCTCTTTCAGTAACTGTTTCTTATTGCTCACACCTATCAAAGTCTATGGCAGTGTATTCGGTGAGAAACAATATCTTTATCAAATGTTCAGGGCTCCTTACCTTCTAGAAACAACAGAACAGTCTAAATGCTCCCAAAGAATTCTTCCATTTTTACCACCACATCTGATACTGAGACGAAAGAAAAACTTCAAGAATCCTTACCAGCACATCGGATGCTTAAAAGATTTTTTCCCTTGACTACACACTGAGTATTCCACCTCTGATGCTATTAATGCAAGCACACACAACTTCTCACTGCTTATTACAAGCAACTAGTCAGCAAGACTTTGAAACAGGCTCTCCTTAGAGTTATATATAAATGTAAAGGCTGTCGGTGAGGAATACCGTTTAAAGATCGGTGAAGGCCGCTTGAGTTTTCATTTCATTTACAGTTAAATATATATTTACATTAAGTTATACACTCTTCGTAAATGGAAGCACAAAAAATCACAAGAGTTAAAGTGTTGGTGGAAGTTTGTTCGGCTTGCCTCAAGGTGTCCACTTTAACTCAATGGAATACCCTAAGTGTCCAGCTTACCTTAATGGGAAGGCTAAAGGTATGTGAGCTGGTCCCAGTGAAGCGTTTGGGTGCCCGGCTTGTCTTAGTGGAACGTCCCTAAGATGTATAGCCTGCCTTAGTGGAACGTCCTTAAGATGTACAGCCTGCCTTAGTGGAACGTCCGTAAGGTGTAAAGCTGCCTCGACAAACAGCTCAGAGGGTGTCCAGCTTCATTCAGTAGAGCTTCACAAGGTGTCCAGCTTCCTCAACAAACATTTTTAAGGGTATCTAGCTTGCCTTCACATAGTATTAAAAAAGTTTACATAAAATCTTGAGCGGTTTTAGTCTTCAGAACTGAAGACGACCCATAAGCGTGCACAGGCAGTGAAAGTTGGAGTCCAGACCGATAACTGTTTCTCCACTTACGTGATCCTCTGACAAAGCTATCTTCTGGCAACTCAACCAAAGACACTGATTCACCTGGTGGGTAACTTCGCTAAATTCTGGGTCATTTAACTGAAACTGGAGTGATAGAATTTGAGCCAACAATATCGTTGGTGCTCATAAACTGGAGAATTATGATCAAATATATGCTAATCTGTTGACATGGCAGTATCTAATGAACATTTTGAGCACCAAGAGAGATGCTGCCCAAATAAAAGGCTTTTGCAGGAAAGCAGGGGCAAAACAACGTCCACTTTATAAACAGGGAGGGATAACTTCCCAGCGGGTGGACCGAGACGACAATGGCCGCCCCTGTGCTGGGCTACGGTCAAACCCCACCTGACTGTGTGCCACGTTCTGGGGAAACTCTACACAGTGGAGGTCTCTTTCCCCTTAACGAGTCTCTCGCACCATCTTTCGACCAGTCGGTCTTAATAACGCACGTCTGAGCCATGGCGTTTAAGCCTCAAGACAAAACTTGCTCCCTTTTTTCAACTCCTGTGGCCGGAAGCAAAGTTTTTCCTGAAACTGACATTTTCCACACTCACAGACACACATGCCGAGTTCAAGAAGCTCTGAAATACACTGTAACACCTGCAGCACAGGCATCAGTGCTAAGTTAGTGAACTCAGCTGACCAAGTTAGTGATGGCAGAACTCAGCTGACCAAGTTAGTGATGGCAGAACTGGCTACTCAAACCTACAATATTCTTACTCCACTGTTTCTCATCTGCAAAAAAAAAAAAACAGAAATATGTATTACTTTCATTATTCCCTCCAAAAACAATAAAAGAAAGCATACAACTAGGTCAATAATAACCAAAATGACAATAAGTGAAAAATGGTCTAATCGCAAGTCTACCCTTTAATTTATAGGCCAAGAATTCTCAAGCTTGGTGCCGGTTAGGGGGCTCTTGATTCAAGGAATTGAACCTATTCCTTTTTTCTGGGATAGAACCCGATCGCCTACAATTCCCCTAAACTGTATAACCCGTAGAAGTTTTTAGCATTTCCCGGTGATTATTATATTCAACATATGCGCTACATCCATCTGGGTCATACAGCGCTGTAAGAAGTGTAGGAGGGTAGGTGTTTTGTAGGGTTATGGGATGGTTAGGGGAGTGTTAGGGGTAAGGAAGTACCAGGGGAAGGAGAAAGTTGAGGTCGTTCCCCTATCGTCATTGATGTAACAGTAATAACAACGCAGGTTAAGAGCTGTCATAGCTCATGTCAGAAGTCTAACCCAACCTAAGATAGAACAAACAATATTCACAAGAGTCTACGGTGTCACCTCACCGCATTTTACTTATTAGAAGTTGACCCTCAGTCGTCTGATTGATTTTTGTCAATCAGGGGAGAAGCGGTAATCTCACTGGGGTCAAACAGCGTCTGAGGTCATCAAGGTCATTCCAAAGGAAGGATAAGGCCAATTCCTTGGAAGAAGAGCTCGTTACCGTAAATTAATAAATAAAATACACATAAATACTGTAAAATATCGTAATTACAAGAGGAGCGCTAAATCAGTAGGGGTCATACAGAGCCTTGGGAACAGGAGGAAATTCAGGTTTGTTCCAAGGAAAAGATATCAGGTGTAATTCCTTGGATGAAGAAGAAACATCAAGGAACCTGTTCCTTGAGAGGTTAAATATCAGACTGTTAAAGGCCTGGTCATGGACCAGGTCATGGGGGCGTTGACCCCTGGAACACCCTCCAGGTGTGTCTGGCTGGAGTGCTCACCTGGACACTTTCATCATTAACTTCCAGCGTCATACAATGACTGGAAGACATAATAACCAGGTTTGATCCGAGGAAGAGGGGGTAGCTCCAGTTCAACGGATCAAGAACCATTTATCATGAAAGCACCTTGAAAACAATGGTTTTCTGATACTCATGAATGAACATATTACGGAAAATTATTATTACAATCAAAACTATGCGTTAAACCCACAAGAGCCATATTACGTTGATGGGGAGCACTAAACCCGTATTTGCCCAGCAGCGCCTGAGAAATGGAACTTTATCAAATTCAGTCGAATAAATGGAAGGGTATTATTATTATTATTATTATTATTATTATTATTATTATTATTATTATTATTTATTAAATTATGCGTTAAACCCGTAAGAATGGGAGGGCAGCTTCAATTCTTTGGATCAAAAACCTTTCACGGTCATGAATTACCTCCCATGAAGTGTTTAGTTAGATAAATATGATAAATATTTACCTTTGTTTACCTCAGCTTCTCTTGTATGAGGTCACTTGCTTCACTCTTGTATGAGGTCACTTGCTTCACTCTTGTACGAGGTCACTTGCTTCACTTTTGTACGAGGTCACTTGCTTCACTCTTGTATGAGGTCACTTGCTTCACTCTTGTATGAGGTCACTTGCTTCACTCTTGTACGAGGTCACTTGCTTCACTCTTGTACGAGGTCACTTGCTTCACTCTTGTATGAGGTCACTTCCTTCACTCTTGTACGAGGTCACTTGCTTCACTCTTGTATGAGGTCACTTCCTTCACTCTTGTACGAGGTCACTTGCTTCACTCTTGTACGAGGTCACTTGCTTCACTCTTGTATGAGGTCACTTGCTTCACTCTTGTATGAGGTCACTTGCTTCACTCTTGTATGAGGTCACTTGCTTCACTTGTACGAGGTCACTTGCTTCACTCTTGTATGAGGTCACTTCCTTCACTCTTGTACGAGGTCACTTGCTTCACTCTTGTACGAGGTCACTTGCTTCACTCTTGTACGAGGTCACTTGCTTCACTCTTGTATGAGGTCACTTGCTTCACTCTTGTATGAGGTCACTTGCTTCACTCTTGTACGAGGTCACTTGCTTCACTCTTGTACGAGGTCACTTGCTTCACTCTTGTATGAGGTCACTTGCTTCACTCTTGTATGAGGTCACTTGCTTCACTCTTGTACGAGGTCACTTGCTTCACTCTTGTACGAGGTCACTTGCTTCACTCTTGTACGAGGTCACTTGCTTCACTCTTGTACGAGGTCACTTGCTTCACTCTTGTACGAGGTCACTTGCTTCACTCTTGTACGAGGTCACTTGCTTCACTCTTGTACGAGGTCACTTGCTTCACTCTTGTACGAGGTCACTTCACTCTTGTATGAGGTCACTTGCTTCACTCTTGTATGAGGTCACTTGCTTCACTCTTGTACGAGGTCACTTGCTTCACTCTTGTATGAGGTCACTTGCTTCACTCTTGTACGAGGTCACTTGCTTCACTCTTGTACGAGGTCACTTGCTTCGCTCTTGTACGAGGTCACTTGCTTCACTCTTGTACGAGGTCACTTGCTTCACTCTTGTACGAGGTCACTTGCTTCACTCTTGTATGAAGTCACTTGCTTCACTCTTGTACGAGGTCACTTGCTTCACTCTTGTACGAGGTCACTTGCTTCACTCTTGTATGAGGTCACTTGCTTCACTCTTGTACGAGGTCACTTGCTTCACTCTTGTACGAGGTCACTTGCTTCACTCTTGTACGAGGTCACTTGCTTCACTCTTGTACGAGGTCACTTGCTTCACTCTTGTACGAGGTCACTTGCTTCACTCTTGTACGAGGTCACTTGCTTCACTCTTGTACGAGGTCACTTGCTTCACTCTTGTACGAGGTCACTTGCTTCACTCTTGTACGAGGTCACTTGCTTCACTCTTGTACGAGGTCACTTGCTTCACTCTTGTACGAGGTCACTTGTTTCACTCTTGTACGAGGTCACTTGCTTCACTCTTGTACGAGGTCACTTGCTTCACTCTTGTACGAGGTCACTTGCTTCACTCTTGTACGAGGTCACTTGCTTCACTCTTGTATGAGGTCACTTGCTTCACTCTTGTACGAGGTCACTTGCTTCACTCTTGTACGAGGTCACTTGCTTCACTCTTGTATGAGGTCACTTGCTTCACTCTTGTATGAGGTCACTTGCTTCACTCTTGTATGAGGTCACTTGCTTCACTCTTGTATGAGGTCACTTGCTTCACTCTTGTACGAGGTCACTTGCTTCACTCTTGTATGAGGTCACTTGCTTCACTCTTGTACGAGGTCACTTGCTTCACTCTTGTATGAGGTCACTTGCTTCACTCTTGTACGAGGTCACTTGCTTCACTCTTGTATGAGGTCACTTGCTTCACTCTTGTACGAGGTCACTTGCTTCACTCTTGTATGAGGTCACTTGCTTCACTCTTGTACGAGGTCACTTGCTTCACTCTTGTACGAGGTCACTTGCTTCACTCTTGTATGAGGTCACTTGCTTCACTCTTGTACGAGGTCACTTGCTTCACTCTTGTACGAGGTCACTTGCTTCACTCTTGTACGAGGTCACTTGCTTCACTCTTGTATGAGGTCACTTGCTTCACTATTGTACGAGGTCACTTGCTTCACTCTTGTACGAGGTCACTTGCTTCACTCTTGTACGAGGTCACTTGCTTCACTCCTGTACGAGGTCACTTGCTTCACTCTTGTACGAGGTCACTTCCTTCACTCTTGTATGAGGTCACTTGCTTCACTCTTGTACGAGGTCACTTGCTTCACTCTTGTACGAGGTCACTTGCTTCACTCTTGTACGAGGTCACTTGCTTCACTCTTGTACGAGGTCACTTGCTTCACTCTTGTATGAGGTCACTTGCTTCACTCTTGTATGAGGTCACTTGCTTCACTCTTGTACGAGGTCACTTGCTTCACTCTTGTACGAGGTCACTTGCTTCACTCTTGTACGAGGTCATTTGCTTCACTCTTGTATGAGATCACTTGCTTCACTCTTGTACGAGGTCACTTGCTTCACTCTTGTACGAGGTCACTTGCTTCACTCTTGTACGAGGTCACTTGCTTCACTCTTGTACGAGGTCACTTGCTTCACTCTTGTACGAGGTCACTTGCTTTACTCTTGTACGAGGTCACTTGCTTCACTCTTGTACGAGGTCACTTGCTTCACTCTTGTATGAGGTCACTTGCTTCACTCTTGTACGAGGTCACTTGCTTCACTCTTGTACGAGGTCACTTGCTTCACTCTTGTACGAGGTCACTTGCTTCACTCTTGTATGAGGTCACTTGCTTCACTCTTGTACGGTCACTTGCTTCACTCTTGCACGAGGTCACTTGCTTCACTCTTGTATGAGGTCACTTGCTTCACTCTTGTATGAGGTCACTTTCTTCACTCTTGTACGAGGTCACTTGCTTCACTCTTGTATGAGGTCACTTGCTTCACTCTTGTATGAGGTCACTTGCTTCACTCTTGTATGAGGTCACTTGCTTCACTCTTGTATGAGGTCACTTGCTTCACTCTTGTATGAGGTCACTTGCTTCACTCTTGTACGAGGTCACTTGCTTCACTCTTGTACGAGGTCACTTGCTTCACTCTTGTATGAGGTCACTTGCTTCACTCTTGTATGAGGTCACTTGCTTCACTCTTGTATGAGGTCACTTGCTTCACTCTTGTACGAGGTCACTTGCTTCACTCTTGTACGAGGTCACTTGCTTCACTCTTGTATGAGGTCACTTGCTTCACTCTTGTACGAGGTCACTCCAGCTTCAAGACAAACACCACAACCGGTTTGGCTTCAGCTTTGAGGAGAAGATTTATGTTATATCCCAGATCAGAGCCATCTTGAAGCAAATAAACCAGGGCCACTACATGGAGGTGACTCATTGGCACTCCTTCACAACGATGCCATGGGTTAAGTGCCTCATAGGGTCACATTTT